GTTTTCTTTGTTTCTTTAAGATAAGATCTAGGTTGTGGTTTTCTTTTTGTCTTTAAGATAAGGACAAGGTAGTAGTTTTCTTTGTTTTTGGTGTGCTCGGTGGTATTTTTTTATTGTCTACAAAAAGAAACACAAATACATTTTAGAAAATATTTTGAAAATAAAACAACATCGAAAATTTCAAGGGGACTTAAAATCTGAAGTCATATATCATGTATAGCATTACTTTGTAAAACAAATGTTATATACTGATGTGTATTTTGCTACTTATAATTTATGAACAATAATAATGGTCATGTTTAAAATTTTCGTCAATCTGTATACATACTTAATATAAAACAAGGAGATGTGGTCTGATTACCAAAGAGACAACAGAGTTAAATTTAAGTATGGATGTGTGTGGTTTTTTTTTTAATTTTCTTTCTGACCGGCCTTTCGATTTTGAAATTTGACTGACGAAAAACAATTAAAAAACAGACACGACCTAAGGCTTCAAACAGGAATCAATAGTTTCTGGAATTGCACATGGTAAAGAATATTTTTAATGAGTACGTGTCACTTGTAAGGTATGTTATTCTTTTGTTAGGTTTTATCAGCATACAAGAATATTTTCAAAATTGACATCGACACTTGTTTCTATATAAATAGACATCTGCTTATATACATGTCGTAAAACCAATACTACTATTGTAATAAAGCTAATATGCACATGTATGCATCATAATTTACATATGTCCTGAACAAGCTGTCATATGTAAATCTGCCTTTGAAATAAGTAATTAAGTTCAGATATACCATGAATTAAACTTCTTAGCCTAAATTAGGCTGATATGCATAAAACCACATAAGCTAAGATATCCAATCGTACGTAGTACTAATTTATCGTAGGACATGTAGAAAAATCTATCCGTTCGGAACAAATCTTGACTTAGGTAACCCAGGTTCAACAGTCTCGTTGTAGACTATATTTCTTGTGTTTTGTGTCCCTTAGAGAATTTGGTATTGATTGTAGATTTTTTTATTCTCTTTTTACCCCACGGGTTCAGTTTGGTTTACTGTCGTTTCATTTGGGTTCGTGGAAACCAACGGCTTGATTTAAGCTTGTAATGAAAACACACGTTTTGACAGACGACAAAAAAAGACAAAGAGCATGTGGTGAGGTTAATAAACATTTGATATTTTGTCAATTTTTATAGACTTCCCCTTTTTGAATGAAAATATATACCTTGGAATTTGGTATTTTTGTAAAGCAAAGTCTTGCCTATTCCCCGGTTTGAAGGCATACATACACATTAATTGCCCATTCCCCGTTTGGTCGACTTTGAATAACATTTTTAAAACATGAAAACTATTAAATATTATGACACAGACAACAGCTCCTTTATATAATATCTCCAACAGATTGCACATATTTGCTAATGTAACAAGAATGGACCAAGAAGATCAAAGATATACAGTTTTTTCTTCTATAAATTTACATGTATTTAGCGGAACTAATCTATTTCAATCGTCATAAGAAATTAACTTAAATATAAAACAACCATCTGTCCTCAGTTTACATCCGTGTAACAATACATCCGTGAAATATATTTCATTACTTAGATGAAATATACAACTAATAAGTCCTGATTAGTTTGTAATCGAATTGGAGGTGAGTACACTAAGAATCCATTTAATAGAGATATTATTCATTGTTTTTCAAGCACTCTTCAATCACGTTTGTCATCTGGTTGAACAAGTATGCTGATGAGAACTGGCAGAATAGTTCGAAAGGCAAGTTATTGACGTGTCTTAATGAAATTTTATTAATATTTTGATATTAGTTTTTTCTATGTCATTAAATGAAAAGATGATTTGCATTATTTACATATATACAAAGAGAATTAGATATACAACATAAGGCACATTGTCGGAAAATATACAATTAATCAATACAAAAAAAGCGATACGTCTAGCTTTCTTTTGGTATTGTAGCGATTTGATGCTATATTGCTTTTCGAGAAAATACCGGTACATGCATTTTTTTATCCTTGTTTTTTCAGGAAGGCGCTAAAATATTCTTTTTTGAATTCTTTCTTGTTGTTTCAGCCTTTAATACTATTATAGTTTATTCTATCAAAGAAAATCGTGTCGGGTTAAGCAAATTTATACTGAAGCTAGCAACTTCCTGTTGTCTTAATTTCTTAAATGATTTATTTTGTTCAATGTCTGTTATGGTGCTATATAAAACACAATATCAGACCAATGACAGAAATTTTGTTTTTGTTTTCCTCACGAAACTGCTGTCACACCAAAAAGTTGACATTTTTCTCTCATTGGTCATAATTTGTAAACTTATGCAAGACAAAAAGTCTGCATCCTTTAAATGGAATAGACATGATCGAACCCGAACCGCGTAGAGGACACCAAAGACATTACCGTTACCACTCGAGTTGGCTAGACAGCTGGAATTACAAAGAAATAGATATTTTTAATACTTTAATGACTTACTTAACATACATAGACATAAAAACATTCAAATCATATATATATTGCTGCCATTGAACAATATAGTGTATGCCATCAAATAGATATAAAACATAGAATTTAACAACATTGCAATACAAACTAAATTCGACACAGGCGGGCCATTTATAGTTTAAGACATGCATCCGCCAAATAAATAAGTTTTCCAATACCCCAAGCTTCAATACGCCTTGAACATTATTGATAAACTTCAACAGGGGACATCTTCTGTGTCAGTCTTATAATTGTGTGCTCGCCTCAATTGCGAGGGTGGGGACGGGGTGGAGGCGGAACGTGCGCACATTTTAGTGAGTGTGCTTCATACAAAATGTGCTTCGGTCACCACTTTTTCAATCCATTAAAATTACAAAAAGAACCATTCAATTCTTAGATAATTAAATTTTTGAAAATAATATCTAGAAATTTTACCGCTGAAGTACCGCACAGGACGCATACAGCAAAATTGGAAATTCTGCTGAAATTGGATCACACTCTACCTGTAGGGGTAGAAGGGAGAATCGGTTTATATCATTCAGATTTAGTGGAGAAGAGCAATACGTCCGAATTGTCAACCTTTCGTTAAAAAATGTACATTTTACATTCAAATTGTTAAGGAAATTCGTATTATAGTTATACTTCCCATATATATTAATCAGTCTATTGAATGAGCTTATTTATAGAGAGGTTGTCAATAACATTTTTATAAGGGTTCTATGGCATAAGCCTTAAATGTATTATTCGGGACAACAGTTTGGAAAGGGATTAACTATGCTGTTAAACAAACTTTCAACGACATCATTGGAATGATATTTTACATTTAAAGTTTGGGGGTGAACGGGTTAATGTTCTTTGTAGGAAAACGTAATTATATGCACATTTGTATCGGTTGAATTATGATGACGTAGTTAATATAATCTGGGTCAATGGTTGACTGATTTTCATTGACTGTTATAACACATCTCTTTTTCATATTAGAAATTAATTTGAAAATAAAATTAAAAAAAATCTTTTTTAAACGACAAAAACATCAACATATTTCATTACCGATAGATGCATGAGGCGCATACATTAGAGAAAAAAATTGATTGATAATTACAATATAAATACATGTTCCGAATGAGTATATATGAGTATTTGGACCATACGCGTTAAAACATACAATTGAATATGGAATCATGTTGACATACAAATAACAAATGAAATGCATCACTGACAGATGTTTGGCTTGTTAAACGCACGGAATTGTGAAACTTTGATACATTTTTTACATGTATTTAATTTTCAGATTTAGTTTACTCTTTAAATTTGTGATTTTCCTACTTATAAACAAAGCTGCTTTGCATGGTGTAATATGTGATTTGACATAATTTATATTTGGATTTTTACATAAAGTTGATAATTTAATTTGAAAAGTTGAGAATGCGTTCATTGCATGGCAAAAGAACAGAAGGTTTAGATAAAGCTGACGGATTTTTTCATATTTTTCAAAATTTTATAATGAAAATATTGCAAACAACTTTTTTGACTGTAATGATGTTTTTGGTTCTTGCGAGAAATTTGAAAAGTAAAACAAATAAATCAATAGATTTTTTTTATCGAAAAAGCACGTTATGCGTATATGGACATGACTTTAAAAGCCGATGCGATCTTGTTTCATCAACAAGACATTAAACAAAGAAATGAAATGCATCTTCTAAAACAATGTACTGCGTACACAGGTTTTAATCCCGTGAATTTTTTGTTGTATTTTTGAAAGAAAAAAAATATAGATTTTGTGAACGTAAACGTAAATTTTAATCCCATGGAAACCTTTTCTGCCTTCGTTTAAAATTATTAACTTTATGAAATTCAATAGTTGTCAATTGAATGACCAATTTAGTTGCATTATTGTTTATTCGGCAAAATTCAGCTTATCGTCCTGAATACCCACGAAATATTTGTTACTGGACGTTGAGCAAACAGAAATTAATACCAATCGAAATAATTTAAAGTTTTAAAACACATATTATTTAAAGTTACAAGTTTGATAAAGTATAGTTACTATGGTCATATTGATTTTCTATTTTTAGTTTATTCTTAACAAATAAAAAAGACATCAATTACCTTACATAATTATTTGTAAATAGACCTTCTTATACCCCGGGAATAGCCATTATACTACGCAAACAATAAATTATGAATATGATTATTAAAGGCTGATTGAAGAAGTCCATTATATCTTCAGGTAAGGTTTCAGGTAAAGTTGTTTTCGCATGATTAAACTGTCAACAAACCCCAACACAACCAGGTAGGTTAATAATTAACCTGTGCGTATCAATTGTTTTGAAACAAACACCTGCCAATCAAAACGAAATCTAATACATTTCAGCTACCGATTCTGTGCGCTTAGTGGCTACTTTGAAAGATTTATATACAAGTTTGATACCTTACCGTTATGTACACTGATTAAAGTGATATAAATAATCACATACCTGGATTTTTTTTTGTTATTTCAGAGTATAATATATACAACACTTCGTTGACTGACAGTAACTTGAATGATCACCTATGTCAATTTCACTGACAATGTAGTTGTAGTCATCGCTGGATTCAAATGCGTGGAAAGTATGGGAGAGTACACAAGCTGAACAATCTTGTGGAATTTAAAATGTGATTCAAGTTTATAGATATGGATGTAAAATTTTATAATTATTTATTGAATATATTATGAAGTGGAAGCAACGTATATTATTTTGTGGAATAACAACTTTGTTCGTGTGTAGTGTAGTTTTTCTTCTACAAGCACTACCCCAAGTAAAAGTTAGTTCTTTTAGATTAACAAATAGTGGACGATATATGAATTATGGAGAAAATACAGCACACATGTCAGCAATTCGAAAACGGCTGAACAAAAGTAACTACACCAGCGATGATTTTAGTCCCGAAAAGGGGGACCCTAATTTACTTCGAGGATTCCAAGGAGGACAAGTTGGTGGAATACGGAATAATATACAACCACTTCAATTCTATCCTTCAGCTAATTTTGTAAATTATACAGATAAAGATGTTGACTATCTTTTAAAAAAATTACAGTCCATAAATAAAGAAATCTACAATTTTGAGAAACTAAGGAAAATGTCGTACAAACAATTGATAGAAAACTACCACGATAGTATCAAAAAAGGAAAATATCTCTCAGCATACCGGACATATGAGGGGTAAGTTATTATATATTATCGTTTTATTTATGCAAAATAACAATATAGTTGTGTTTCCTCCCTACGCAATCTCAGCCACTGTTATTTTTATCTGTGATGTAGATTTAGCTTTCCATTAAAAAAAAAAAAATATACAAATTACACGAGTAGTTTGGGCATGTAGATCATTTTCAGATGCATGGACACATGTTCTGAAACATAAAATATATGCTCTCCCCGCGGGCAGTCATATTTTACTAATTACAAATTTATTTCCTCATTAAATCGGATGAAAAACTTTTTCGTTGTCCAACATATGGTTTCAGTGTAGGGTCCGAACATGTGTTACATTTATTCAAAGCTCCTTGGTCAGTCATATTTTATCTGAAAATAAAACATGTAAAATGAAATTGATTTTACGGTATTGCAAACGGAATCATAAAAACACATCGTCACTAAATCACACCTGCTTCTGCGTCAGACTACAAAATGAGATTTAATTACATGACGATAATCCCTAAAGCAGTTAACCTATCTGAAGTTCCTTTAATACAATTAATAGTACCATTCAAGTATATAGATACATCAATGGTCGTATTAAAGTTGTATGTGTAAAAACACACTCCTTAGTTGTTCAGGTCCAATGTACCGGCTTATCATATGCCTTGTTTCTGGAAGTATTTGGGTCCGACACGGGACAGAAAAAAGGAGCGGAAAAGTTAACAAGGGGAAATAGATAAACACGGGACAAAACCATTGCTGCAGGAAAAACGACGAAAAGACCATCGAATGAATGACATTATTTCTCATAAAACTACAGTGACATAAAACTAGAGTTCACTGAATTGTAACATGCATGTGTGAATAATATAATGAAATTAACTTAAAGGACTCAGTCTGACTTTCACATTTATAACTTTGATACATTTACATAATTTTTTCTATTACACAATGTATTACAATATTTGGTTAGTTAAATGTTGATCAAATTAAAAGATATTAGGGGAAAACGACGAAAAGCCAATCAAAAGTCCACAAAACAATACACGCAGACAATTAAAGATTTAGTATCACGAACACCACCAAAAACCGCAAGTACATGCCTCCTTTAAAAAGAGGTGCACCTCCATGTGCAAACTACCCCTCAGGCCTGTATCTACAAGTACAAGTCGAGAATAAAAAAATACTTTGCCAATACATACGTTTGTCATAAAAACATTTTGTGCCTTTAAAAGCTATAATGATCATTAATAGAATGACGTCTTGCCAGAAGAAGCATTTGGTGACTTTATTAACAATTACAATCTTTAGAGTTGCGAAAATGAGGTCCATGTCCATCAAGAGTTACATGATCATAAATATGTTTTTGTTTAATGTTTATACTTGTAGTTCTTGATTGCTGTGTTAATACTGTGTTACATTTTGTTTTTTAGTTTGACTCATATGGGTGTAATATTGCTAATAAAACGATTAAATGTAAAAAAAAAAAAACAACAAACAAAACATAGCAAATCCTTTGTATGGCAAATAAATATATAAATGAATTATGAAAGAATCCGTAATTCGAAAACAAATTGATTTTTTGGTAGAAGATATAAATCTTCTGTCGACAAAAAACAAAGAAAAATACAATTAAAAATTAACTAGATGTAAAAGTTAGACATTAACAACATTTTCCATTTATAACTATATAATTGTACAAATTAATCATGTCGCTTTTGTACATGTTATTTTGTATTAATGTTCTGCCGTTTTAAGTAAATAACAATAAGTATGTTACACGTTGTTACAATGCCCCAAGGTTGGGTGACTGTCGTTGCAATGTATTATACATTATGTTACCAAAAAAGTCTTTACTATAATGTATCGTAACACAAAATAATGAAATTACTTTTAGTTAATTTGCTCGAAAAAATGTTCTTGAATAAATTATCATTTTAATAACAATTAATTAGACTTTTAACTTTGTTTATTCTCATAGTTATGGATGTCACGATCATGCATAATTAAAGCACATACAGCTACTTGAATATTTGTTCGCTGTTAGATATCCAAAGCCCCTTTCTCTCTCTAGTTCTCTCGGTCCATACTCGTTCTATAAAAAAAAAATGAGTGGCGCTTTAATTATGGTCTGAAAAGTTTGATCCATTTTGTTTTCAAACCTGTTGGTTTCGAATGGACAAGACCGGATCTTTTATGGTTTACCATACAATATTGGAGGGTGTAGATTGGGGTTTGTAGAATAGAGAATAATGGGCAAAAAATATAAAGAATAGAGAAAATTGGACCAAAAAATAAAGATTAGAGAATAATGAGGTGCTAAAATATAAAGAATAGATAATAATGGACAAAAAGTATTAAGAATCGAGAAAATGGCCTAAAAATTAAAGAAATGAAGGACCATCATCTTGGTTTTGCCCATTGGTGAAGGTTGCACCGTGACCTTCAGTTGTAGAGACCCTTTTCCTTCAGGTTTTTGTAGATATGTGCATCATATAAATATGAAATATTACTCAATTTCATAACTTTATGATCACAGTGCATTAATGAATGAATGTAATTAAATTCGAATTGTGGAAACATGGGAATTTTATGGAAACCAAGCCAACATAAAAACAAGTGTATCAAACGTGCCTCGTGCTACATATACATTTTGTACATTTAACTTTTGTACTCATTTTTGAACCTCCATATTGATAAATATGATAATTATATTGAAAATTACTAAACCGACAAACTATACTGAAATTCTTCCTTTTAAATCACCGACTATTTAAATTACTTTCAATGCACGGAATAATACACCATTATTACGAATAAGAAGTGTTTTATGTAATATCAATGAAGCAGAGTATACCCGAAGTGTAATTAGAAACCCGAATGTTTAGCAAGATAATGCATGGGAACTAGTGTAAAGGAAACATTGTAAAAAAATGTTGATCAATGTTGAGGTTTCATCGTCTGACGTAATACTACACTGAGAGCAAACACGGACATTTTTAAATTAGTACTAAGAAAAATTGCATCAAAAATATTTCTCTTTGTTTGGTTTCTGAAAAAAATGTATAAACATATTGGAGTTTTGAATTTACGGAACAAAATTTCTGGTTTACTCGCCGATGACCACGATATAACGTCGCATCCTATAAAAGAACTAGAAAAATAAAAGATTTTCTTTTATCTTTAAATAATGCAAGAACGATTGGTTAATTTGTTTTTTGCTTTATGTCCAGTGGAAAATATTTCACGAATATCCACGACGAGAACAAAGGAATAAACAAATCTGGAGAAGAGAGAAAAAATGTGCTCGCCGTTCACGTATTATTTTAATATTTTATTTTAGTTTCACTATTTAGACGATTTTGTGAAGAGGCAACACAACTATATACATATTTGTGTTTCCTGCCTAACAACATAAATTTTCTATCCTCGCCTAACACATTTGTTGACATTCTTGAATATGCACCGTTAAAGTCCAGACATTTCCCAATATAGAGCTATAGTCCATGTAAAATATTTTACATTTTATCTACCTACCTACCCTTATTTTTCTGCAAGGAGGCAGGAAACAAGCATATGTTTTTTTGGACATGTTTTTTTTGACTAACTTAGGTACGATTCGTAAGACGTTGTTATCTCAATGTGTTTATTTTTCTATATTTAGAATGGGAGGATGTACATTACATTTCCGTTGTACCCGGCAACAAAGATTTAACAAATCTATAGATTTATTTTCACAAAGATCAATTATATCATCTAGCATTTAATATTTTCTTTATACGTAAAATCAACAACCTTAAAATCTTTCGGATTATAGTAATCTTCAGGGCCCTCTATCCACAACCGTTTCGTATGGCGTGATCGTAGAGTGCTTATCATAAAAACTGGATTATTCGGGTGAAGTAATTGTAATGAATGTGTGATCGATCTTACCCATGAACCCTCATAAATTTAGAGAGAAAAGTGAATTTAGGGCCTAAACTCGCTGTGACTTTGAGATGAAGAACAGCAATAAAAGCGTTTTTTTTTTGCTGTGCATGTACTGATTTTGTGTCATGGATGGATACCCCATATTATCCTCTATTTTTTCTAAATTACAAGTTTTACAATCGTCATGAGGAAAAGGAATTTACGAAGTTATACTTGTTTTATTTGTTATATTTTGATCTTTCTAAAAGTTGTACGCTGTATCAATGACTCACGACATACCTTTGTCTTTTTTCATTTAATTATGAATTCACCGTTTTAGAATTTTAATATCGTTTTGGGAAATATGTTCAGAATCGAGCACCACAACGTTGTGCATGATTGAATAACAATATCAAAACCAATTAATATTCAACGGAATAGAGATATTTTTCTTTTAATGACCGATCAATAAGATTTTCACTATCCTTTTGAAAAAGAAGCGGGAAATAACGATTACGGTTTACGGGTATAAAGTCTGTTATTAGAAGTTCTATTGACCTTGCATGTAGATAACAAGTTGTCTTGTATAAGCAGAGGATTGAGGAGTTTACCCGCCCCATTTGACCAGCAAATGTTTTTGTAGTACATTTCTGATTTTTGGCAGTCTATTGAAATATAGAACTCTGATTTCGTTATACTCCATATGAGCTCATATGGAGTATAACGAAATCAGAGTTCTATATTTTAATTAGACTGTGATTTTTGACTTTTTAATCCCAATTTTTAATTTTAGGCATACGCCCCCCTCCCCCATTACAATTTAAACTCTAGAGCTCTGAGCTACCAGCTGCTGTTGTTCAGCTAGATATAATACATCAAAACCAACACAAATGATACATCAAAACTAACACAACCGATTCAACAACGTTTCATGGATAACTTGTACTCATACGAATTTGAAATATATTTTTATTTTCAGCCCAGCACTAAAAATGGTTTGATACCCATTTTGCTGCCTACCGTCATGTAATTATTAATGAAGGTTATTTTTCTTCTTAAAATCATAATATATTTCTGATATCGGTATTTAAGTACTGGAAAGAAAATGAAGC